AAAAAAGCGCCAAGTCAAAACCCTTCCAATGTCCACTTCTTGCAACAGTACGCTTGCTTGCCTTTGGTATCAGCCAGTAAACTATGCTTGATTTCTCGGCTATCGTGAACTAACCATATCACATTCGTTCCTTGACGTAAAGCCAACGCCTCACAATTGCCCTTCAAATTTACGATGCCTTCCTCAAGATCACTTTGGTCTTGGTGGATAGTTAGTCGATGAAAGTTACCCGAATAAGTTTGTGTTACTCCTTTCTTCAACGCAGGCGCGGCCTTTGGGTTTCTGCATTTGCCGTCAATAATCTGTGTCAGTTTCTACTTCGATTCGCGACGAGCACTCGCCATAGGCATCACCAGTTGTGGGACCCCCCTCGGGGCCATGGTTTTCGCCCCACTCACCGAAGTGCTGTTAAAGGTGAGGTGTTGACTACTGTTTTTTGTACTCTCGTTATCCTGGCCCAGGTTGAGGCAATCATATGGAATGTATAAACGCATAAATATCAACATTATCGACTAATCGGTGTTGTGACACAAATGATGCCGACGCTTTAAATTGACCGTGCCAGCAGCCGACAATAAAATGAACCAAGTACATTTGTGAGCCAATGAGTCTGATTTCCAGTAATCTTGAATGTAGTGGAAGTGCGCACTGTAATACGGCCGAAGGGCAGAATGTGGTCATTATTTTGTTCAAACTGAGCATAATTTCGCCGTTTGTAGAAGTATGGATGGGCCAACACGTTGATTCTTTTCGCGGGCATGCTTCTCAACTGCACAGTGATGGCGGCACTCTACCGGCCACTGACACCCGCCCTCGTGCTCACCCCCATGAAGTCCAAGGAAGCCGATGCAATCAAGTCGCTGCTGCAGCTGGCCGCCCAGCCCCCTGAGGGTTTAGACGCGGGGGACCGAGTGGGTGGCACAACTCCCGTCATGTCCCAACGCGACCTGCGCGATCAGCCAGTCATGGAGGAACCGGAGGGAGAAGCAGAGACAGCCTTTGAGGCAAAATCCGATTCCGAAACGGTAACCGAACATGACAAACAGCCGCAACAACAACAACTACTACCACAACCCACGTAGGTTTGACGCATTTCTTTGTAAGTTCAGTGATGATATATTGGCCCTTTTTGTACACCTGATTCTACATTTTAATTGGCAAAAGTTGTTAACTAACTGCTGACAAGCGCGATGATCGATTTTTTTAAAATTGTAGACAACTGGAGCCGATTTCGGAGAGTCCAGAAGGGGAGTTGGGTGCGTCTTCCTTTCCTAACCCACATTCTTTTCATCCTTTTTTTCCAGAATTAAAAAAAATGAACTATCTTTCTGGTAACTCATTTAAACCAACATTTTTTGTGTCCGATGACATTTGGCGGTTCGCTGTGAATGTGATTTAAGCTATAATCTTAATTACCACACCAACTGCATCTTAAGTTTTCAAAACGCTGATCCAGTTCCATCCACCAAATCAAGACACCCTAGTTCTAAGGATCTCTCACGTCGGGTTTCAGTAAAATAAAAGTGCCCATTTCATGTCGCCCTGTGAGTTAGACCTATGTGCCATTAGCTCTCAGCTGATTAAAGTAAAATAACCATAACAAAAAGTGGCAATGTCTTAAAAGTTCTAATAAGTCAACGATTTGCCTTCAGCTTTATTCAGAACCTGCACAGCTAGGGTTTAACGTCGGGTAAAGGCAAAATATACAAAATTTGCATAAAGAATAATTTAAGGGATATCATCCTTCGGTCGTGCGTACGCGTTTCTTTGACCCTCACAGAGACTTCAACTGCTGCTTTCTTGAGTCTGTTCATGTGACTGAAGGCAGCGACAAGTTCTTAGTGTTGATTTTATTAAATTGTAACAAAAATGATCGTGTCACGAAGGATATCAAGCACAAGGCCTCTCATTGGATCCTGTCGCATTGCATGCACACTTGGTGCTAGCTGTTGAATTTAGGACGCGTAAAACGAGTCGACTTAAACACGTAGAGTGGATTAGGTGAATGTGTGTAGTAGTCAAAAGTAAACGTTAGAGAATGTCTCTGGCGTCGGTTGGACAGAGTGGTGGAGCGACATCCTACAGCTCTGCCGGTGGCCACTGTGTATTTTCACGGCCAGGCTTGACTGGACAAGTTCTAAAATCGCGGTTGAAGGTGGAGGGGGTGCTAAGTCTAGTGGTTTTTAGTGATTTCTAGTCCAATTTAGACGTTGATTTTGG